GGAGTTAGGTCTTGCAAATCATGACATAAAGGTTGTGGTGGAGTGTAAATCACCAGTCCTTTCCTATGCAATTATCCAACAGGGATAGGACAATACGTTACAACCATAATTTTCTTAAGAGTAATAGAAATACTTATCAATCCAAAGACATTAATCTAAAAACTTACCAAAGAGGTAGACATATTTTATTTTCTATTTTTCAGACAATTAGTGGGTGTGTGACATACTTTCAACATTGAAGGTACAATATCATTGCAGAGAGTTAGTGTTTCCCGCCCAAATACACATTCATTCGAGTGTTACAGATAGTTAGTTTTTTGTATTTTAATTCATATACAAACGATGGGAATATTAAATGTACCTCGACATTGCACAACTAATTAGGCGAATGTTCAGCCAATATTGTACTAAGAGATGGTTGGGAATGCGATGAGATTGTATTGTAATCTGCATTAACCATGTTAGCAAGTGGAGCATGGTTGGGGAATTGGGAGAGGGACTGGTGTTGCCTCCCAGAATTTGTTGTTGTTTTGGCCNTCTGCATTAACCATGTTAGCAAGTGGAGCATGGTTGGGGAATTGGGAGAGGGACTGGTGTTGCCTCCCAGAATTTGTTGTTGTTTTGGCCTCCCGAGTTGGCGTCAATTCTGGAAAGTATCTGGTAGAGGTGGAGTGTAATTCTCAAAACACTCTCTTTCCCGACGTGCGCACTGTGCCAGCTGGCGTGGTGAGCACGTACTACTGCCATTGTGATTTTGTTCACATATGGGGCGTTAGGCCTCAATTTTAGGGGCAGCAAAATTTGATGCAGGAGCCTAAGATAGGAAGTGACGTGTGAAATAAGTTAAACAATTATTTAATTATTAGCGNTTAGGGGCAGCAAAATTTGATGCAGGAGCCTAAGATAGGAAGTGACGTGTGAAATAAGTTAAACAATTATTTAATTATTAGCAAACTAATATAATTTCAAATCCCTAATAGAAATTGCATTAATTTACCGCAAGTAAACACAATGTAGCAATTTATGAAAGAAACAAAAAATTAAGAAAATTAACTAAGAATTAATCAAATTAACTCAATCTATAATATATAAGAATGGCTAAGGAAACCAATACATAATTTGGACAATATGTTAGCCTGTCCAAAAACCTAACTTTTTAAATAATTTGCAAGACTTGTTAGATAGCTGTTAAATATGTTTAGGGTATTAGTTGTGTTTAATAATTTTTATTGATACAATAGTTTTAATACTCGTTAATTACCAATACATAAAAAATGATCAATACAACATATCAGTTGAGTAAACCAATTTTGTTTTAAAGTAGAACCATTAGCTTTTTCTTTCCCCTTCATCGAAGATGGACCGACACTTAGGTTGTTCAAGTGATTCACATTTGAATTTTCCTAGGAAGTACAAAAAGGTATTAGTTAGAAAATGCACACTAATATCAAAATAAAATTTTTTGACAATATCAGTAGTGTTACCTTATCCATATGTAATTTATTGAGTGCACATTCAGAAAAAACATTGACAAGTATGTTGTTGCTATCATTTTGATCAACCTGTAAGAGCAGCCTTAATAAATTGAATTATATGTGTAATGAAATTTACAAATTATAGGCATAATGTAATTAATCTTACCGCTTCGCGAAGGTTCGGATCCATCTATAAAAAATAATGATTTGAGACTTGGATGCGATAGAATAATAGTTTCGCAACACCAATGACATTAGCAAAAAAGAAAAGAAAACAAATACTCGCATAACCAAATATGGTGAGCTCAAAAAACCATAATGGTGCCTACAAAGATAGTTAATAAAACAAAACAATTAATTATAAACAATTTAACCAATTTAAACTAATAATTAACCAAGTGGGAGTAAAAGAACATATAATCACAAAAGGGTAGGATTCACGCACACAACCAAAGCAACCAATTTTAAAAAATAGTGGATGTAACAAAGACTAATGAATTCATTCAATTGAATGGTGAACTAATTAAACTAAACAATGGTGCAATAATATTACCTCTTTTCACAAGAATATAACTAAGCAAGGGTTACGTTACACCTTGAGCAACAAATATAACTAACAATTAAATATTAAAAAAAAAATGAATTCATCGTCATACAAAAATAGTGTAGATAATCACTAGAGTAAAGACAACATAATAAAACAAACTACTTATTGGGTATCTAAAATCAATGTACAATGTACTGAATTGACTTTGGTTGACATTACAATGTATGCAATACACTACCATGAAAAAAAAAAGACTGGGCTATCAATAGTATTGCACATATGGAGCCATCAACAACACTATATCAACGAAGACATTTATGTCAACCAAAGTCAATTCATTGAAGGCATACCATAGTCAATGGAGAAAAAAAAGCTCCACAAACTATAACTTAAGTTATTAAAATTGAGCTCAAGCAAAAAAAATCAAAGTTATAGTTGTTCAATTCAAATCGATTGAAGTCAATTCAACTCAAGTTAAAAAAAATGCAATTACATGTCCAATTCGAATCAAATCTAAAGTTATAGTTGTTCACAAATCCAATTACATAGCAAATATGCATCAAATCAAAGTTTCTTTCAAAATTCGCATTCCAAAATAACATAATCAAACCGAGTTCACAAATTAGAATTGAACCTAATCAAACCAAGTTCACAAATCCACATTGAACCTAATCAAATTGAATTTAAATTCATCCTAACCAAACAAAGTTCTCAAAATTTAAATTGAACAAAGTCCAAGATGAGTGTATGGGTAAGGAAAATGGTTAGTTCTAATTCCCATCTTCCTAAATCCAATAATACCAATTACTTTAGCTCCAATTACTCTCAATCTAAAATCAAGCATATAATGATACATGTGAGAGAGAAGGGGGGGTGTTCTTTGCGTTGTATGTGTGAGTGAAAGATACATGTGAGGGAGAAGGGCNCAATTACTCTCAATCTAAAATCAAGCATATAATGATACATGTGAGAGAGAAGGGGGGTGTTCTTTGCGTTGTATGTGTGAGTGAAAGATACATGTGAGAGAGAAGGGCAAAAAAAAAAAAAGGAAGGGATGAACAATATCAATTTACTCCAATTAATAGCCCTAATTTTGAAATTATTTGTGTACGTGATTGTGTGGGCGATGGGCTTATGTGTGAGTGTGTGGTTGATGGGTGTGTTAGTGTGTGCATTGGGGTGTCGTTAATTATGTGTGTGAGAGAAAAAAAAAGAGAAAGCAGAGAAGAGGTGGGGGTAGGATGGGGGGTTAGTGTGTGTGTTTGTGTATGCATGTGTGTGTGAGAGAGAGATGAGGCATACTTGGGAGGGGTTAGTAGCGGAAGTAGTGGTGGTGGTTTTGTTGACAAAGTGGCGGAGGGTGAAAAAAAAAAGAAACAAAAGGAATGGTTTGTCTGACAGAAGGGAGGGAAAAAAAAAAGAGAAACGATGTAGGAGAGACGACATCTTTGATAGTGAGGTTATTGATAGANGTAGCGGAAGTAGTGGTGGTGGTTTTGTTGACAAAGTGGCGGAGGGTGAAAAAAAAAAAGAAACAAAAGGAATGGCTTGTCTAACAGAAGGGAGGGAAAAAAAAAAGAGAAACGATGTAGGAGAGACGACATCTCTGACAGTGAGGTTATTGATAGATCAGATTTTTGAAAAACAAATTGTGGGTGAAAAATGATGAATTTGGGGGAAATGAGAGGAATATTGGTGATCGTTGGATGAATTAATTTGAGACCATAGAATGAGTTTGTTAAACCTGCTTTGTTTTATATTATATATACATGCAACAAGTTGAGAAGATGAATGCTCGTTCCCCTATGGTATGCTATTCATAAAGGTGTTTCAAGCCTTTGACATTGATCTAAATTGTGAAGAGAGTGTTCCCGAAAAAACCTTCTTTGGAATTGCATTGCTTAAAATGATGGGAATTGAAAAAATGGAGAAAATCATTGAAAAGGGGAAAAAAAGAGCAAGGGGAGAAAATGTGGGAGGGGATGGAACATCAAGGCCTATGTATGTTGGCGATGAAAGAGGACAAGAAGAAAATCCTTCTCATACTCAAGAGTTAAATGTTGATCAAGATGTGAGAGATGAAGGAATCTCAATGCCAAGTCTAGAAAGCCTTCACACCGAAGTGGTAATGGATTTTCTTCAAGCTAAGTTTGGTTCACTTCCTCCTCCTCCTCCAATGTTTGTGTACCAACCACAAGATTATGTTGAAAACACATTTATAGGACAATATGATTGTTTAATAATTATGAATGATTGGTTCGCTTTCTATATATATGGTTGTTGATTATGACTTGTGCATCTGTGAAAATTTGAGTGATAAGTTATATGTCTATGCATATGGTTGTAATCTTCCACTCTTGGCAAGTGATTGATATTTGATTATGCATTTTTGATAATGCCAAAGGGGGAGAAATATGTATGTGTATAATGCGGTTAAACAAATAACTTCAATACTCAAAAAGAAATATACACAAACATATGGAATCTCAACCAACAAATCAATTTTCTATAAGCAAAATTGTTGTTGTAGCATAGTTGATGTATGCATAAATTAAGAGGGAGCCTTTCTTTATGAATGAAATGCTGCTAAGAAATATCTATATGCTTAGGGGGAGCATATTTGAGAAAAATGTAAAGATACCTATGTCTTTTATTTGTTATTTGGTTGAGATGTTTGCCATCATAAAAAATTGGGAGAATGTTGACCCAATGCTTGATTAAGCATGATTTTGATAATGATGAACATCCAAGCATGATCTAATATGTTGATTAGTTGTGTAGATGATGACTTATAATTAACAAGAAGGAAGGAAAAAAAAAGAAAGTAAGAATATCAAGAAGAAGAGGATCACAGTTTGCCAAAGGAAATTGTGATCTGGCATACCGGATAAGTGAACTGGTATACTAGATGGAGGAACAGGTATGCTGGATGTTGAACCGGCAAAGCCAGAAAGCTTTTAGTATCTAAAAGCTTACAGTATCTCAATTTCTGAAGAAGTTCCTGAAAAGTCGACAAAGTACCCTGATGAATCGGTATACCTGTTTAGGAACCAACAAAAGTTGAAAGCTCTTAGTATCTCTGAGTTGAAGAAGGATTTGACAAGCTGGTATACNCCGGCAAAGCCAGAAAGCTTTCAGTATCTAAAAGCTTACAGTATCTCAATTTCTGAAGAAGTTCCTGAAAAGTCGACAAAGTACCCTGATGAATCGGTATACCTGTTTAGGAACCAGCAAAAGTTGAAAGCTCTTAGTATCTCTGAGTTGAAGAAGGATTTGACAAGCTGGTATATTGGATGGATGGACCAGTATACTTGATGAACTAGCCCATGTGAGACAACAGCTAGTATCCAACATACCAACCGGCATACCGGATTAGACTTCGGCGGAATGACTTAGAAGTTAAAATACTATTTTATAGCATTTTGAAAGCCAATTGTTCCCCACTATAAATAAGAGTCTTCAAAGCAGGGTTCAAAGTATCGGCCGAGTCCGATACGACTCGGCCATTGACGATACGACNATAAATAAGAGTCTTCAAAGCAGGGTTCAAAGTATCGGCCGAGTCCGATACGACTCGACCATTGACGATACGATAACGATACATGAGTCGAAAGATTGACGAATTTAACTTGTATCAGCGATATCTCGGACGTCTCGGCCGAAATCAAAGGTGTCGGTGAAAACACGGTTCAACTCGGGCGACTCGACTCGGAATCCTTCCGAGTCGAACACGACAGTAGAAAAATCCCCAAATCTGACCCACACCTCTGCAAAAGCTTATCAACACTCCTTCATTTTTCTGAAAAATGAACAAGAATCCAAAAAAAAAAAAGGGGGATGGGAAATAAAGTAGACTTACTACTAGACTACCCGTTGAAAGACTCGACACCCATGTGAAAATTGTAGAAATCACATGAACCCTAAGGCAACAAACCCCTATAAAAAACCAAGATTACTANAACTACCCGTTGAAAGACTCGACACCCATGTGAAAATTACAGAAATCACATGAATCCTAAGGCAGCAAACCCTTATAAAAAACCAAGATTACTACCATACCTGTAAATCGAACCCTGAAGCATCTTCTTCATCTGGTCTTGTGTGTTAATCTTGTTCGATTCTTTGTTATTCTTGTTCAACTCTTTGTTGAAAGGATCTTCTTCGATTCTTTGTTGAGACAATTTTCTTCGGTTTATATCGGCGAGGAACGACACTATGCATCTTTCTGTCTGCACTCTGTTATCGTGCGACTCTGGGAAGTGAGAAAGACGAAGAACGTAAAATAGGTAGGAAAAAAATTGATTTTTTTTTATTTTTACGAAAAGTTTATATATTTATATTTGCCTTAAAAGTAACATAAAAGTAGTAGCTCGATTGGGTGGTGTTGCAAATTGAGCTGCAAGGTCCCTGGTTCGATTCCACGAATGCTCCAACTATAGTCTAATTTTTTTTTTACTAGTGTTTATATATTTATATTTGTCTTAACTTAACATAAACATAGTAGCTCAATTGGGTGGACTTGCACAATGTAATGTTGTAGGTCACTAGTTCGTCTCCTCCAAGGCCTCAACACACTGTTTGCCCTTTTTTTTTTTGACCAAATATTTATATATTTATATTTGCCTTAAAAGTAACATAAAAGTAGTAGCTCAATTGAGTGGTGTTGCAAATTGAGTTGTTACAAGGTCCCTGGTTCGACTCCTCCAATGCTCCAACATGCAGGTTGCTTTTTTTTTTTTTAACTAAGTGTTTATATATTTATATTTACCTTAAAAATAACATAAAAGTAGTAGCTCAATTCGGTGATGCAAATTGTCATGTGCAGGACAATAGTTTGACTCCTCCAAGACGAACATGCTTTTTTACAGTATTGTCATAGTTAAATTACTTATTTATTGCATAAATATTAAAATTATTGTATTTTAATGATCAAAAAAATNTTTTTTACATTATTGTCATAGTTAAATTACTTATTTATTGCATAAATATTAAAATTATTGTATTTTAATGATCAAAAAAATTATAACTTTAATGTAATAATTAGATACATCAATATTTTATAATAATAAATGAGTGGATATAAGTTCCTTTTTTTTATTTATAAAAAATATATGTTCTATTTCAAATTATATAAAATTAAATGTTACAATTATATTTTTTTTATATTTAAACTATTTCAATCAATTGCATGTCACTTATTTAATTATTTANAAAATATATGTTCTATTTCAAATTATATAAAATTAAATGTTACAATTACATTTTTTTTATATTTAAACTATTTCAATCAATTGCATGTTACTTATTTAATTATTTAAAATTTGTGACATTGTAGAATGGCTCATAAAAAACACGACATTGGTTGGGAACACGCAACACCTGTTGGTAGTGATCGACGAATTACAAAGTGTAATTATTGTGGTAAAATAGTTCATGGTGGCATTACTCGAATGAAGCAGCATATTGCACATGTATCCGATCAGGTGGAAGGATGTCCACGTGCACCACAAGAAGTGTCACAATTCTTGAGACAACATCTTAGTGATTGTAGTAAAGAAATGGCTTCTATAAAAAAGAAAAAAGAATGAATTATGCAATCATTACGAGATGAAGATTTTTACAACCTGGATGACGACGACGATGATGATGGTGAGAATCAAATTGAAGAGGGTGATTTTGAAAGAAGACAGTTAAAACATGCGATGAAGGAAAGCCGTCAAATGACTTGGATAGAGGAAGAGGATCGTAGGCACTCTGTATCAAATGCAAGCGGTCGATCATCACAACCATCAAGCTCAGGAATCAAGCGCGGACCACCATGTAGCTATAGCGTAAAAGAAGGTGTAAGCATGCCTGTAAGTGGCCTTGATCCGTACATGTTCCCGTCGAAACAAAAGTCAGTAAAAGGCATGTTCTCAGGTGCGAACCTGAAAAAAGTGGGAAAAGCTATTTCGAAGTTCTTCCTCTTCAATGTCATACCATTTAATGCAGCTGATAGTGGGCCTTACTATCAATCAATGATTGACACTATTGTGGATGCAGGCCCAGGAATAAAGGGTCCCACAGGATATCAAATTGGTAGTTCTTATTTGGAGGAGGAGGTTCAAGAACTTGATGTGTATATATCTTCGATGAAGTTAAAATGGCCTCAGTATGGTTGCACAATCATGTCTGATGGGTGGAGTTCTAGAACAAAGAAATCCATTATCAATTTCATGATTTATTGTGACCGTAATATGATTTACCATACATCAATTGATACCACAAATATTTCAAAAACTGCTGACTATATTTTCTCTCTTATGGATAAAGTTGTTGATGAAATTGGAGAAGAAAATGTAGTACATGTAGTAACCGACAATGAGGCAAGCTTTAAAGCAGCTGGTAAGATGTTGATGGATAAAAGAAAACATTTATTTTGGTCTCCTTGTGCAGCTCATTGTATTGATTTGATGCTGGAAGATATTGGTCATATGAAAGCAATCAAGGAGACCATAGATGATGCTAAGACGATCACATCTTTTATCTACAACAGTCTCAAAGTGGTCAACTTAATGAAGCAACATACCAGAGATAGAGATTTATTGAGGCCAGGTATAACACGATTTGCCACTGAATTTATCGCCATTGAAAGTCTTATTTGTTATGATTCGGACTTGAAAAGAATGTGCACCACCGATGAATGTCGTGAGTTCAACAAAGACAAGAAGAGGAGAAAAACAAGAGATATAGTCTCAAACTTTATTTTGACTGACCAATTTTGGAAGAAGGCTAGAGAAGTTCAATCTGTCATGGAGCCTCTTGTTAGGGTCTTAAAAATAGTTGATCAAGACAAAAAATCAACTTTATCAATTATCTATGAGGCAATGGACAGGGCTAAACTAGCCATACAACATTCAGTCAAAAATTGAAAGAAATACTAGGCCGTGATTGACAAAAGATGAGAGATCCAATTGCACAGACACTTGCATGCAACAGGTAAAAGTATTTAAAAATATAAATTTTTTGTTGTGTATTAGCTTGTAAAATATTATAGTTTTCCACTAACTTACATTAAATTGTCAAAAACTTTGCAGCTTATTTCTTAAATCCAGTTTTTCAGTATTTTAATCAATTTTCCAACCATCCTGAGATAAGATCTGGTTTGAAAGAGGTTATTAAAAGATTGAAACCTGATTTGAATAAACAAGCAAGGGCAATGAATGAGGTATGACGATTTTTGATAATTTTTTATTATAATATGTGTATATATTTGTTGCTTACGTAATACATTACACAATAAATTGCAGATCAAATTATATACTGACAAACATGGCGAGTTTGGGAATGCACCCACTAGGAAAGTTGTACATGCCTCCCTTCCAGGTTTATTATTTAAACTATATGTATTTAGTAAAGTATCATTTGTTACTCTTATGGACAATACTAATATTGTACAATTTTTTTTTTGTAGCTGAATGGTGGATCAATTATGGTGAAGAAGCTCCTCATTTGCAAAAAATTGCAGTCAAAGTTTTAAGTCAAACATGTTCATCATCAGGGTGTGAAAGAAATTGGAGTACATGGTCGCTGATCCATACAAAACTTCGCAACTGATTGGCAATGAAAAAGCTACACAAGCTAGTTTTTGTGCACTACAATATGCGGTTGCGAGTTAAAAATTTGACATATCAGCGTGAAAATGATGATTTTTATAATCCAATTGATCTGAACTACATTTTTAATGATGAGGATATATTAGATGAGTGGATAAGAGAAGGAGAGGAATCAATTTTATCACCTGATAACTTAGGTTGGCTGAATGAAGGTATTCGTGACATTGAAAAAGGTGGAAGTGGACGAGATGTAGTTGATGAAGGTGACACTAATACGACACCAACATCTAGCAATTATGCCACTACCAGAAGATCTGAAAAAGATACGAGGCCAACCAATAAGGGTAAAAAGGCTATGAGAATTTTTGTCAGTTCTAGTGATTCTTCTTCTGATGATGATAATGATAATAATGTTGCTAATACTTATGGTAGTAGTGGTGGTGATGGTGATAGTAGTAGTATTGATGATGATGATGCTAGTAATTATGGTGGAGATAATGATAAGAGCAACAAGAGTGGTGGTGGAGGGACTACTAGAGATGACGATGATACTCAGCTACCTGGCGGTATGTCATGGGCACAGGGGCAAGACAATTACTATGCCACACAGGATACAGACCATAGATATAGACCAAGGGCAATGAAACAATGGAGGAATTTAAATTCTTCTATTGGTGATGATTATTCTCATAGACGCTACCATCATTCACTTGGTCGACA